ATTGCTCCTCAACCACAGACTCGGAAGCTGTGCCCGCGAGCAGCAAAATGACGGCCAGGCTGGCCACTGGAGAGAGAATCTTGCACAAAGGAACAGGCCTCAAAGCGCGAACCCCCTCGCGCTCAGAGGCGCCCGAGAACGGACTCGCGGTCGTCGGGCGGTTCATGGCCTTGAGCCAAAATGGCTACGGATGTGTGTGTGTGTGCGTGCGTGCGTGCATGCATGCATGCATGCATGCATGTGCATGTGCATGTGCATGTGCATGTGCATGTGCATGTGCATGTGCATGTGCATGTGCATGTGCATGTGCATGTGCATGTGCATGTGCATGTGCATGTGCATGTGCATGTGCATTGCATGTCTGTGCATGTTCATGTGCTGTGCATCGCATTTTGCATGTGCATGTGCATGTGGGTGGGAATGTGCATGGCATGTGCATGTGCATGTGCAGTGCCTGTGCATTGCATGTGCATGGATTTGCATGTGCATGTGCATGTGTATGTGTATGTGTATGTGTATGTGTATGTTGTATGTTGTAATGTGTAATGTGTATGTGTATGTGTATGTGTATGTGTATGTGTATGTGTATGTGTATGTGTGATGTGTATGTGTAGTTGTATGTTGTATTGTGTTGTGTATGTGTATGTGTATGTGTATGTGTATGTGTATGTGTATGTTTGTGTGTATGTGTATTTGTATGTGTTATGTGTATGTGTAGGTGTATGTGATGTTTATTTGGTATGTTGTATGTGTATGTGTATGTGTATGTGTATGTGTATGTGTATGTTATGTGGTAATGTGTATGTGTATGTGGATGTGTATGTGTATGTGTATGTGTATGTGTATGTGTATGTGGTATGTGTAGTGTATGTGTATGGTGTATGTGTATGTGTTTGTATATGTGTAATGTGTATGTGTATGTGTTGTGTATGTGTATGTGTATGTGTATGTTTATGTGTATGAGTATGTGTATTGAATGTGTATGCGTATGTGTATGTGTATGTGTATGTGTATGTGTTGTGTATGTGTATGTGTAGGTTGTATGTTGTATGTGTATGTGTATGTGTATGTTGTATGTGTATCGTGTAGGTGTTATGTGTATTGTAGTGTATGTGTATGTGTATGTGTATGTGTATGTGTATGTGTATGTGTATGTTATGTGTATGTGTATGTGTATGTGTATGTGTATGTGTATGTGTATGTGTATGTGTATGTGTGTGTATGTGTATGTGTATGTGTATGTGTATGTGTGTGTGTGTGTTGGTAGGGCGGGTTGGAGTAAGGCAGACGGCTTGCGGGCGGGGAGGGTGTCTTGACCCTTCCCCCTACCTCTACCCTGGATCTGAAGGGGGGGGGGCCGTGAGGGGTTGGAGCATCCAAGATGTCCTCGGCAAGAAAGCCAGAATCACTGATGTTACAAAGGTTTTAGACTCATTTGGGCCTCCTGGGAGGGGGGCGATAATTTACTTGACCACCCCCGTATTTAATCTAACTCCTCCAAGATGGCCCCAAGATGGCCCCCGAGGCTCCCGAGAGTGCCCCCAGAGGGCCAAAGAGGCGCCCAGGAGGCCCAGAGAGGCCCCCAAGATGCCCCCAAGAGGCTCGCAAGAGGCTCCCAAAAGACCCCGACGAGGCCCCAAGAGGCCCTCCCGAGGCACCCAAGGCGCTTCAAGAGGCTCCAAGGGCCGCCAAGAGGCCCCTAATACGTCCCAACAGGCCTACAAGAAGCTCTCGAGAGGCATCCGAAGAGACTCCGAAAGCATCCCAGATGCCTCTGGCCTTCCTGTTCGCACTCCTCCTCTCTCCTCCTCCTCCTCCTCCTCATTCTCCTCCTCCTCCTCCTCCTCCTCCTCCTCCTCCTCCTCCTCCTCCTCCTCCTCCTCCTCGTCCTCCTCGTCCTCGTCCTCGTCCTCGTCCTCGTCCTCCTCCTCCTCCTCCTCCTCCTCCTCCTCCTCCTCCTCCTCCTCCTCCTCCTCCTCCTCCTCCTCCTCCTCCTCCTCCTCCTCCTCCTCCTCCTCTCGTTTATCCTCTAATGCTTCATCCTCTATCCTCCCCCTCTTGGGTCCTGACGGATTCCCAACCTTTCTTCCACTGCGTACTCCCCCGCATGCCTGATCAAGGCAACTCGCCTGGGCATCGTTTCTGGAAATTGCTGGTGAGGTCCCGCGAAGCGTCTCTGAATTTCAGAGCGGAGCCAGCAGTCGGCCGAAAGGACGCCCCGAGAGGCTTAGAACTGGCCAGGCGCGCAAACAAAAACTCAATCATCGGCCCCCCCCCCTCGATCCACGGTCTGGGGTCCCTCCCTCGACTCCTGACCTCTCTTCCGCCGACCACCCGCCCCGTCGCGCGCGCGAAGCTCTCGGCCCCTTCCCTGGGAACTGGGGAAACAGAAGACCTGTATCAATGACACCCCACCGTGGGCAACCCATCAGCGTGGCACTGCTGCAAGAACGCCAGACGTTCGGGAAAGAACCAGAGGAGCAACACGCTGACGGGCTTCCAACAGTGGCGTGTCGTTGATAACAATTCGGGATGACGATTAATAAACATTGTTCTCTGCTATCTCTGTACAAGTTTCTGACTGGAGAAAACAATAAAAAAAAATAGTTATCCAGCCCGCGGCCGGTTTTTTCTAATCGTCATCCCGGGCGCCGCCGCGTGAACACGACCCCCGGTCATTTATTCATCGTCATCCTCCATTACTCTTCATCGGCGCCGTCGGCGTTCCAAAAAACGGGCTCCACGTCGGCGATGCATCGGCGATGCATCGGCGATGCGGCGCGGTCCACCGACCGCATCTGTGCGAACCCCATCTGAGAGGCCCAGATCTCTCCCCCTCTCGCCTGCTCCTCCCTGGTCACTGCCCGATGGTCCGGGCCCCGGGGGATCCCGAGACGGGCCTCCAGAGCCCGATCTCGAGAGACACGGCGCCAGCACTACACAAGCCGCGGCGCTGGAAGAAGAGTCGGCGTGGATGATGTCGGTGGTCGGCTGGCCACTGGGTCGGAGAGGGCGTTGGTGCCAGGGTGGTGGCACGGAGCGGCGTCAGGGGGGCAAGCTGGGCGATGGTGGTCGCCTCGGCACTTGCACGATCATGCGGAGCATCAGGCGCTGGATCATGTTCAGTGTCTTTTGCATGTCTCCGTATAGCTCTCGCTTCCGCGCAACACGGTAGGCGTAATCGCCCGGTGAAGAGCCGGGGCCAGACACGTAAAGAGCTCGACTTGTCCGTTGGCTCCTGCTTCGTCATGTGGAGCTTCTTCGAAGCAGCGTAGTAACCTCGAACCTGCGCCCCCTCTCCTGCTGGCCAGAAACAGTGCTGGGCCACCTGAGACCCCCAACCAACTCTAAGAGCCAGGCCCCCAGGGCGTCGCGAAAATGGCACAAGCAACATAAGCACACGACGGGCGTCCTGGTCGCGATCTCAGCCATCTGGAGAAAGTACGTCGTCGGGCCCTAGGGTCTTCAGCAGAGAAAGCAGGGCGACAAACTTGCCCTGGCGACGGGATGCAGTCATGACGCTGACATGAAAGTCATACCGCTTTGGGATCCGAAAGACCCTGGTCCTCGGGCCGTTCCTTAGGGCTAAGTCAGACATGCCTCTTCGTTCCATACTCAGCGCTCCTTGTGGCAGCAGGCAGCACACCATGGAACAAAAAACACTGCGTCAGAGGCCCACACCACAAACAACACCACCACCACCACCAACAACAACAACCATTGCAACAAAAACCACAATTACAACAATCATGTCAGACTGTGCGCTCCCATCTGCTCACGTGCCAACCAATGCGTATATCCCAAACCCTCGGTACCCGCCCTCGTCGTCTTCGATCGTACCCCCTTGGGGGTATAGTTTGCTTGCCTGCCACGTGCATGTACTGCAGCCACTAAAACAGAGGAAGAGAGGACGGGTGGAAGGCGGAGGGAGAAGGATGGGGCACGAGAGAAATTAGCAGGAAGGGGGCACGGTACAGAAAACAAGTGGTAGAACCAGACGGGCAGATCGGATGGGCAGACCCATAGCGGGCTTGTCGGGAAGGCGGGCCCAGGCGTCCAGGTCGAGCAGGCGGGTTGCCGAAGCGTGGGTCCTGCATGAATCGCAAGGAAGTCTCGATCGATAGCGCGATTCCTTAGACAAACCTTGATAAAAACCCTCTCCGACACCGTCCCTGGAGGCCGCCCAGATGGAGCCCGAGCGCACAGGATCGGAGGATCGCGCCGCACCGTCGATGCATCGAAGGTGCGTCGGCGATGCATCGGAGACGTCGGCGATGCACATGTTGTATCGGTGATGTTGGTGTTGAGACAATTGGGTTTTACCTCGAGTCGTATCGCGCCGACCCCATCTGTCTCGGCCTCCTTGTTGCGATACCAAGCGGTACCGATACCGCTACGCCCTGGACTTCTCCTGGGGTGAGCTCTGACCAGGATCCCGAGGCGAATCCAGCCTTGTCGATGAGGGCATCCTAGGAGGCCCAGAAAAGGCGAAAACGAAGAACATGTAACGGTATCGGTACCTTGTCCTCCTCTGATCGTCTGTGCGGCCTGGAGAATCCCTCCTCCCCGCTCCCCCTTTCCATGCTTCCTCCCCAGGGCAAGCGCGAATCGATCGACGGTGGGCGATCGAGCCACACAAACAGTTCCAGTGCCATGCCGCCTCTGACCCTGGTGGTGCCCTCTCCATCTCGTCTTGCTGCCTGCTGCTCATCCACATTTGTCATACTCATCATCCTCCGCCTCGTCGCCCTTATTATTATTAGTATTCTTCTTTTTCTTTTTCCTCTTCTTCTTCTTATTATTATTATTATTATTATTATTATTATTCTCGTCGTCCTCGTCGTCGTCCTCGTCGTCGTCATCCTCCTCCTCCGCCGCCTCCTCCTCCTCCACATCCTCCTCCTCCGCCGCCTCCTCCTCCTCCGCCTCCTCCTCCCTGCGACCTCCAGCCTCCCTTGCCTTGCCTCCCCCCGCCCCCTCGGACGGCGGGGGCAGATGGCCGCCTGGACGCCGTGCTCGCCCACTCCGCTGCCGCCTCAACGTGCCCGGCGCCAGTGCGGAGGCGAGGGCAGGAGGAGGGGGGGGGGAGGAGGAGGAGGAGGAGGAGGAGGAGGAGGAGGAGGAGGAGGAGGAGGAGGAGGAGGAGGGGAGGAGGAGGAGAGGAGAAGGAGGAGGAGGAGGAGGAGGAGGAGGAGGAGGCGGAGGAGAGAAGGAGGAGGAGGAGGGAGGAGGAGGAGGAGGAGGAGGAGGAGGAAGAGGAGGAGGAGGAGGAGGGAGGAGGAGGTGGAGGAGGAGAAGGAGGAGGAGGAGGAGGAGCAGGTACCCCGATCCCAAGCTTTGTGGGGGTGTCGATTGGACGAAGGGCAGGAGGAGGCCGAACGGGGGAGAACGACGACCCCGATCCCAAGCTTTGTGGGGGTGTCGATTGGACGAAGGGCAGGAGGAGGCCGAGCGGGGGAGAACGACGACCCCGATCCCAAGCTTTGTGGGGGTGTCGACTGGACGAAGGCAGGCTGAGGCCAAGCGGGGGGCACGACGACCCCGATCCCAAGCTTGGTGGGCTTCCTCCGATGGATACAGCATGTGGGGCCCAACTCGGGGATCTGCGATGGGGGGGGCGTCCATCCTCGATAGGGGTGCGTCCAGATGGCGCCCTGGGGGTGTATCCCCGAGGCTCCTATCTTTGCTGGGCGGCCTGATTTCCTGGGGAGAAGTCATGGATCGGGGGCGAAAAGTCGCCTGCGAAGGATGAATTCGGATGACAACAAGCCGGATCTCCGACGTTGTAACTTTTTGAATCCAGGCATCTCTCCTCGCATGCGGCCTCCGAGGCCTCTTATCAGGCACCGGGACCTTCAGAAATGGATCCTGGGCGGGAAAGATTACCCCTGGGTAGGGGGTCGGGACCAATGGGGCCGCGCATTGAAGAACTCAGATCGCCGGATGTCTGGGAAGTCGGGATGTCTACGATGTGGCGGGTCAAGAGGCTGTATCGGGTACTCCCCGGTGGCTAGGCTACTGCTAGGCCTGCCTGAAGTGCCCCCCCCATGCGATCGGCACCTGGTCGGCCGAGCGGGTGGCCTACGGCCAGCGCCCTCCACTGGCAGGGTTCGTCTCCTCAGCGCGGTCAGAGCATGCCTAGAAGAGCGCGGATCCGGAGCCTGAGATCCCCCCCCGCCGAAGGCCCGGCGCCACATGAGGCCCTGAGCGACGACAAGAAGCCAGCGTCACGCGAGATGGCATGGCGACCTAAACGCCGCGGCCTCACGCGGGCCGCCAGCATAGCACGCCACAGCCGAAGCGAGGGCGCTCGCGCGGGCCGCTGACGCGCGGCGCAGTCGGCTACGTGTTCCTCCGTCGCTTGCATGGAGGTACAGTCGGACCCAGGCCAGAAGAACATCCTTCAAGAACATGAGACCCTCCGCCGGCCAAAATGAAGAGCATTCGAGTGTAATTGCCCTCCCCCGCGATGCACAAGAACATCCAACAAGCACGAAGAGCATTAGGGTACCAAGAAAGAAAAGCGTTCTGGGGTGGGAAGCCCAGGAGCGAAGAACGCAGGGGGGCACCCCTCCAAGGCCAGGGCTGCTCTTCGCCCCCGTGCTGGCGGTGCCGCTGCAAGGGTGCTGTGCGCAGCCGAGGCTGCGACCCAGAGAAGCCTGGCAGAGGAGGAGGAGGAGGAGGAGGAGGAGGAGGAGGAGGGCGGAGGAGGGCTGGGCTCAAGCAGGCTCGTGGTCTCGCGCTCGGCGCCCAGGCGTCGTGTGGCCGGAGCCCGCGGCGCGGCGCGCCGAGCAGGCCTTCCCGGCGGCAGCGCTCTCGGCCCGGCTGCCGGGACAGCTGCAGGCGCACGGGGGGAGAGAGGCGGGGGGGAGGCGGGGGAGGGGGAGGGGGCGACGAGATTTATACATATCCACTGCTGCAAGCCAGGCCCATCCTGGGGCCAGGAATACTGTATACGCCTCTTTGGCCAAACCAGGAGGTCGCATACACTACTCCTGGGCCCCGGATGAGCCTGGCCAGCAGCAGTGGATATGCATAGACTTCGTCGCCCTAGGGGAGGGGGCAGGAGGAGGAAGGAAGCAGCAGAACGGCACGCCCACGGCAGCAGAACCGCAGCCCACGGGCGGGCCGGTCGGCAGGTGCGCCCGTCTTGGACGCGAGAGGAAGAGCCGTCGGGTCAGGAGCGGGAGCCAGGAGGAGAGGCAGGAGGGAGGAGAACGATGATGGGGACTAGTATGAAGGGGCCCTGGGACACACAAACAAATACACACAAATGACAGGATGCCCCATCTTTTCCCGTGTTTTCTGGGTTGTTGTCTTCCCCCCACTTCTCATATGTTTTCCCATATGTTCTAGGGAATCGGCGATAAATTGTGTCTGTGTGTTCTTTTCCCTCCTGAAGGAAGAAAGAAGGGAAGACAAGGACAAGGCAGAAGGGAGGAGAAGGATGAAGGCGGGCAGGATGAGCGAAGCGAGGGAGCAGGGGGGGCAGAAGACAGGGGGGTCATCCCCCTCCTTGTCCTCCCCTCCTCATCCTCCTCCTCCTCCTCCTCCTCCTCCTCCTCCTCATTACCCTCTTCATCCTCCCACCCACCATCACTCTTCCAAAAAATGCATCCCCTCGTCGCACGATCAGCTGTATCCAAACCGCAATCGGGGAGGTTCGCTTTGGACTCCCCCAGAACGTATGTCCCTGAGCTTGACATGTCAAACATCTACACGAATGGAGGGTGAATCGTGTTCACAGTCTGGCGCTCGCCTTAGCGCAATACAGCCCCAAACGCGTCCAACAGCTACACATGGAGGGCGGGCCCTTCTCGTCACAAAGTCTCAAATAACTGCATGGATCGAGGGTGATACTGCTTCAAAGTATGGCCTCGCCTGGAGGTTCATGCTAAATGAAAAGGATGAAAAGGACAGCCAGCAATATACACATTACGGCTCAATAGTGACAGTAGCTGTAATGAGGATACGACTCATACAATGAAAGCCTCATACGAAGAAAACTAATCATACTCGAAATGAGAAATACCTTGACGTTTCTGACCGCTACGAGAATGGAGGGCGGATCATGTTCCAGATCGTGCTCTCGAGCCAGCCGCCCGCGGCAACCAAAGATGAGAAAATACTCTGTCGTAGCAGGGGGGGTAAGGCGAGGGATTTAGGGCTTGGGCTTGTTCGCTATGCAACTCTCGTCGCCGCCGTCGTCGTCGTTCTCGTTGTCGTATTCGTCGTCTTTGTCGTTGGCGTATTCTGTTAGCGATCGAAGAATTGCCCCGACCAGTCCCCTGGCCAACCCGGGCCAACCCGTTCAGGAAAGGCAGCGCGCGTCAACTGAACTGATCTGAACTTAGCAGCAACCGTAGCAGCCGAATGGTCGCAGAGCGCGGTCCGACATGCTGGGAATGAGCTTGCCGACAGGACCCCTGGCAGCACGAAGTAATGCAAAACGCAAGCTGGCACGCTCGGAAGGAGCTTCCTGTCGGCAACAATGGTGATTCGATGCGAGTCTACTGCGAACCATCACGCTTTGGGGTGTGCGACCGGGCCCACCCTCCCGGCCAACCCCCTGAGGCCAACACTGGGCAGTGTGCAGCCGAAACATGGCCACACTACAGGGCAGTTTTTAATACATAGGATTTAAAACAACCTATGATTTTCTAATACATGGTGAATTTATGAATAAATTCATGCGTGAACTCATCGTTGTTTTTAATACTAAATCCCTGCATGTCAAATTCATGATCCGCACGCGGAGCATGTATTGAAAACGGCACTGCAATGTGGATCAAAAACGTGAGCCCCGTCACCGAGGAACCGAAATGTGGATCAAAAACGTGAGCCCCGTCACCGAGGGACCGAGAGCTCGTGGGCCTGGTGGGGATACCCCGAACGAGAAGCAGTCCACGGTGGAGAGCCCGAGGACGAGGAGCACCTCGCCAGCGCTCGGACGTCCATGCCCCGTGCATGTGTGGTTTTGTTGAGTTGTTGTTGGGGGGCAAGATGATCCAGGATGCTCCTCGATGTCAGGGAGACGTAAGACCCGGGTACAGGGGACTCGGAAATCCACGACGAGGTCGTCAAAAAAAAATGGCGAGGCCAAGCCTGCATTTTGACGAGGCCTCCCGCTGCAGACATCCCACGAAACTCCTACTCGTCAAAGTCCGAGTCGCGGTCGTCAAAAAACGATGGCGAACCCGAGTCCTGGCAAACCTCGGTCTTACGCTCCCCCGACGATGGTCCCCGCCGAGAAAAATCCACACGTCCGAGCGATGCCAAAACAAAGGGGTGCCCCTGCAGAGCTTGAATCGTCTTGTTCCTAGGCCTCGTGCCAGCTGTATGATGCTTTCCGTGAGGCGCAAGACATGCGGTCGGGAACTCTTGCTGAGCGTGTCGCCGCGGCGACCCCGGCAACACGCTGTGCCATGCGAGCTGATAGCGTGTCGCTCCGCTCCGTAGGGCGGGAGGCTGGGAAAAGCTCGGCACGTGGACGCTTGGGGACCTCGAAACGGATGGCGTGCCGCGCCGAAGCGTGGTGGGCCAGGAACGGGCGGAGCGACACGCGAGGCTAAAAGTTCCCGACCGTACTTCAAAATGCTCGGAGGCCCGCCGCGAGGCCGCGATCAGGGCGCCGTGCCGGCTAAATGCAAGAGTGACCCTGGAGAAACATGACCTCTGCTGCGCGGTTTGACCGGGGGCCGCGGGGAGACCAAACCCGAGCGGGCAAGATGCTGCTACCGCATCGCGTTGAGTCACTTTGGGACCCAAGTGTGCCTTGGGCGTCGCGTAATGGAGGGGCTATAGACGAGGAGGGGAGAACACGTGCACTTGTCGGGCCCTAAAGCCCACCCTTTGGACACGAAAGGGCCCCTCCGGGGGCCCTGAAGGGCCCCTGTTCTGCTGCCCTCGCTGCCCCCGCAGCCATCGCCCCAGAATTACGCGACGCCCAGGTGCTCGCACCACAGAGGCCACTCCGGCCAAAAATCAGTCGTACGAGTGGCCGACTGTGGGCCGCGGCGTCGGCCAGAGGTGCGCGGGCGGGCCGCTTCTGGAAGGGGGGTCAGCTGAGGCGCCCCGCCCTGCAGGCACTCGCCGTAGGCCTCGCCTTCGAGGCCCTCGCCGCGCTGCGCCTCCTCCTCGAGGCCCTCGCCGCGCGCTGCGCCTCCTCCTCCTCGTCCTCGTCCTCCTCCTCCTCCTCCTCATCCTCCTCCTCCTAAGCCTCGTCCTCCTTCAACTCCTTCTCCTCGTCATCAGCGTCTCATTACTTGTGATCGTATTAGTATGGTTCCTCATCATCTTGATCATCATCCGCATCCTCCTCGTGATGATCATCATTATAATCACCATCATCATCCTCAGCATCGTCAGCATCATCACCTCGGCATCATGACCTCGGCCTCGTCGTCATCATCAGCATCGTCAACATAATCATCTTAAGTCCGGTCATCATCATCAGCGTCATCATCCCTATCATCATCACATTGTTATTACCCGGCATCGCCATCAAAAGCCCAAGACCTATGATCGTATTCATGTTCGACAACAGCATCATTGGCAACACCACCACCGTCATCACCATCAGCATCATTATCATTATCGTCATCATTACAATCAGCAGCAGCAGCACGGCCATCGTCATCATCATAATAATCAGCATGAACATCATTATCAAAACCATGATCGTCGCCATCATCGCCGTCATCACCAAAACCACCATCATATGACCGTATATATATATATATCATCGGCATCAACTTCGTCATCACCATGATCCGCATCAGCATCAGCATCAGCATCATCATCATCGTCGTCGTCGTTGTGGAAGTTGTCGTCGTCGTTGCCGTCGTCATCACCATCAGCATCATCCTACAAAATCGGCTTCAACATCATCATCCTGTTGGGCATCGTCATCATCATCATCGTCGTCTGCTTCGTCATCACTATCAGACCATCACCACAAGCATTGTCCTCATCATAGTCGTCCTCAGCATCAACATCAGCATCATCCTCATCATCATAGTCGTCATCATTAGCACCATCATCGTCATCACCAGCATTATCATCATCGTCATCATCATTATCATCATCATCATCATCATCATCATCATCATCATCATCATCATCATCATCATCTGCATCATCATTGTTAGCAACGGCGTCGCCGTCACAATCGTCCCCGTCGTCATCAACATCATCACCATCAGCATCGTCGTCGTCGCCGTGGTCTTATTCAACATCGTCGTCGTCAACATCACCAGTATCGTCGTCACCGTCGTTATCATCATCCCCATCATCGTTGTCGTCGTCATCGTCGTCACCATCGTCACCGTCGTCATCGTCATCACTAGAATGAGCATCGTCATCATCAGCGGCATCATCAGCAGCAGCATCACCATCTCCAGCATCATCCGTAGCAGCGTCGTCGTCAGCATCGTCGTCATCATCATCAACACGATCATCATCATCATCATCATCATCATCATCATCATCATCATCATCATCATCGTCACCATCTTAATCGTCGTCGTCGCTGTCGTTGTCATCAGCATCATCGTTGTAACCATCATCATCGTCGTCATCATCATCGTCGTCGCCGTCGTCGACGCAGTCGCCGTCGCCATCAGAGCATCATCATCATCATCATCATCATCATCAGCATCATCATCATCATCATCATCATCATCATCATCCGCATCGCAATCATGATCAGGGTCATCATCATCAGCATCATCATAGCCGTCGTCATCATCATCATCATCATCATTGGCATCGTCGACGTCGTCATCAGAATCATCATCATCCTCGTCGTCATCATCATCAGCAGCAACAGTACAATCATGGCATCATCAGATTCAGCATCGTCGTCAACGTCGTCGTCATCGTTATCATCTGCAGAAGCACAATGATCATCATCATCATCATCATCATCATAATCAGCATCATCATTATCATCATCATCATCAGCAGCATCAGCATCATCATCATCGTCACCAGCATCAGCAGCACATCAATATCGTCATCATCAGCATCATCATCATCATCATCGTCATCAGCATCGTCATCATCATCATATGCGTCGTCGTCATCGTCTTCATCATCATAATCAGTATCCACGTCATCATGAGCAACACAATCATCTTCGTCATCATGATGATCAGTATATTCAACGCCGTTACCGTCTTTATTATCATCATCATCATCAGCATCATCATTCGCATCGCCATCATCGCCATCAACATCGTCATCACCATCGTCGTCATCATCACCAGCATCAGCAGCAGCACTAGCATTATCATCGTCGCCGTCGTCTTCGTTGACGTCAACGTGGTCGACGTCGTCGTCATCATCATCATCATCAGCAGCATCATCACCACCACCATCATCATCATCAGCATCATCATCATCCTCATTATCATTATCGTCATCGTCATGGTCATCGTCATTATCACCATCGTCGTTGTCGCCGTTGTCGTTATCATCATCATCACCATCATCACACTCATCGTCATCGTCATCACGATCCTCGTCGCCGTCGTTGTTATTATCATCGTCGTCATCGTTGTCGTCATGATCGTCATCATGATCGTCATCATCGTCGTCATCACCATCATCGTCATGATCGTCGCCGTCGTTGTCCTCATCACCATCATCATCATCATAAGCATCAGTATCATCGTCATCGTTATCTTCTTTATCATCATAAGCATCATCAGCATCATCATGCAACATCATCATCTTGGTCATCATTATCATCATGATCATCGACGCCGTCGCCGCCTTTGATATCATCATCGTCTTCATCATCATCAGCATCATCATCCTCATCGCCATCGTCGTCATCATCATCGTCATCATCATCGTCGTCATCTTCACCAGCATCAGCAGCAGCAATGTCATTATCATCGTCGCCGTCGTCGTCTTCGTCGTTGACGTCGACGTGGTCGACGTCGTCGTCATCATCGTCATCATCAGCATCCTCATCATCATCAACACCACCATCATCATCATCATCATCATCATCATCATCATCCTCATTATCATCATCATGATCGTCATCGTCATCGTCATCGTCATCATCACCATCATCGTCGTCGCCGTTGTCGTTATCATCATCATCACCATGATCATCATCATCGCCATCAGCATCTTCGTCGTCGTCATCACCATCATCGTCATCACCACGGACGTCGTCATCATCCGCAGCATCATCATCATCATCATATTCATCTTCATCGTGTTCGTCATCACCATCGTCATCATCAACATCATCGTCGTCATCATCGTCGTCATCATCACCAAGGGGCTCTTGGACTTTCGAGCGGTCCTCCCAGGGCCGCACGCTCGTCAGCTGGCTGCCGAAGCGGTGCGCCGAGGGCCCGGAGCTTGAGGGCGTCGTGCGCTGCGGCAGCCTGCGCGCGAGACGCCTCTCGGCGTCGCTGACCACCTGGAAGCGTAGCTGCCCCGATACGCCGCGCAACACGTAGCGTACTGATACAGAGTTCAACACGTAGACTGAAAACGCAGGTATGACGCGATACGGTCGCCAAAACGTGGGCCAACACGTGCTGCGCCAACACGCAACGTATTGGCACGGACGCTTTCAGCACGGTACGTGTTGCGTTTCATAACCGGGCGCATCGGGGCAGCTCGGCCTGGAAGTCCACGGCGAGCAGCTGCGGCCCGCTGCCCACCACGAAGCCGCGGTACTCGGGGTGGGTCGCGATGGGGTTGCGGAACAGGGTCAGCCACACCTGAGGTAGGGGGAAAACAAACCTACCTCGCTTTTGACCACCCTCGCTTCCAAGAGATACCAAACGATGCCAAATTGCAGCCTGTACTGGTCAGGCCGCTTGACGAGGAGGCGCGTGGGATGGCTTGGTTTTGCCTGGAAGCGAAAGCGGGGTAGGCAATTCACGCTCTGATGAGGGTCACGAGCGGCGCACAGATCCGCATCCGCGCCCCCGCGGTCTGCATTCCCGGGCGCGCTCCCGCGGACACGCGGTCGCACGCTCACGGCTCCGCGCGGGGCAGGCGCGACGACACACGCCGCCGGTGTCTGCGGGGCCTCTCGCCGGCCCAGGGGCCGGGCCCGCGAGGCCGCGGGCGGCGGAGGCTTTTTTCGCCCATGGCGAGGGGCAGTGCGTCGGCAGAGGGCGAGGAGAGGGAGCGCGCAACGAGCACTGCTGCTCGACGATCCGCGAGGACCGCCGAGAGCTCGTGTGCATGGAGTTAGTTCGTGCTCCTCTTCGAGCCAGTGGGGTGGGGGGGAGGGGGGGGGGGGCACCGCCACGAGGCAGGGGGGGGAACGTCGACCTGGAAGCGGCGGCACGTCGCCGATGGACCTCCCGGCAGCGGCTCCACGCGGCCCTGGGTGGGCGGGGTGGGCTGCCGGGCCCCGCGTCGGCGAGGAGCAGGCGACTTGGGGGTCGGCGCCCTGCGCCCAGGCCCCCCCGCCGGCGAGGCCCGGGCCCCGCGGGCCGACGTGGCACCCCCCCTGGGTGGGGATGCGGGCCGCTCCCTTGGGATGTCGAGGCGCGCGCGGGGGGGGCACCGTTTTTCTCCCCTCGGGGGCAGAGCACGTGCACACGAATTCATGCCAGTCTGCGCTAGAGGCACGCATGGCAGCCGCCGCCGCCTCTGCGGCAGCCCTCGACCTGCGCGGCGCCGCCCCTCGGGAACCCTCGGATAAGGACTCCAGGGTCTGGAAGCCAGTGGAACTTCAATCGTGGATGGGCCATAGATATCACCGCCGCCCTCATGGGACAAGGAATCCCCCAGGGTCTGGCACCTCCTGGGACTGTTCCTTCACAAATGCCCCCATCTCAGGAAAGTGGCATGCTTGGTCTGATCCAAGAAACCTGGCGGTCTGTAGAAGCACGCGCCCGTGTGAACAAGCCTTGCAACGGCAAGATGCGCATGTCACGGAATACCTCTTTGAGGTGGTGCGGAACTGGTTCGAGCTACTGGAATCATCACCGGCTGGGGTGGTGGGATGGTGGGGCATCGGGATATGGAGATGGGGGTAGGGATAAGGATCGGCTCAGCGATGCCGAGGAGCACCAGTTCGGGCGCGGCCAGCACGCCGCCCGCGTCCCCCCACTGGCGCAGCTCGTTCTGGTGCAGCGCCACGAGCGCCAGCCGGCACAGCCCCGCCCAGGCGCCCGCCGGCGGGAGCGAGGCCAGGCCGCAGCGGCTGGCGTCGAGCGCCTCCAGCAGCGGGTTGGCCTCCAGCGCCTGCGCCAGGGCCCCTGCCTGGGAGTTTGGCGGAGGAGGAGGAGGAGGAGGAGGAGGAGGAGGCATCTGCATACGTGCTGCTTGGCGTCGCGGCCACGCGCGCGGCGGCGCGGGCCGCGCGCGGCGCAGGTCAAGTGCTGCGGGCCGCGCGCGGGCCGGGCCAGCTCACGCTGAAATGGATAAGCTGGCTTCACCCACAGGGGAACGACAGCAACACTCGGGAGGGGTATCGACAGCAACACTCGCAATACGTGCAGCGCAGGGCGCGGCGGACCGTCTCCCCATCTCACCATCACAGCGGGATGCGAAGTCCCCGGAGAGGGGACGGGGTGGGCATGGACTGGCGTCATGAGCTGGGCCACAACCACGAAGAAGCCTCATAGCTTCTACCCACTGACGGGTGACGAACACATGGTATTAGTATGTTGGGGTGACGCCAATCGAGAGACGGGACGGGGTGGGAATGGGAGGCGCCATGAGCTGGACCGCAAACACAAAGAAGCCTCACAGCTTCTACATCATCACGCAAGACTGACCCATTGACGGAACCGACTCGTCCTCCATTCACTAGCATCAAACTCCTACGGAGCAGCACGCTCTCCCCTAGTGGGCCGTGAACGGGACTCAGTCCCCTGCCTGTCGCCTAGTGCCTGCCATTGACTTCATTGAGTTCGTTGGATTCCAGGTCAGGGAGGGGGGAAGAGCTTCTGCCCATCTCTGCCCTGCACCCACAGCCCCCACCTCACCCTTCTTGCCCCTCCCCCTCCCCTCGCCTCCGGCGGCACCCTCGACACGCGCCCTCGCTCCGCGGCCTTGGCACGGACCCCCGGGGGGGAGGAGGCCCACACGGGCGCCGCAGCGGACCTTTTCTTTTTGCGACGACCGGAACGGAGGGAGTCACAACTGTGTCCATATTGCTCCAGCCTGTCGGCCTGTCGGCCAATCTTTGGTTGTACCAGCCGATCGACCCATTACAACAAAAAGCGCCACGAAGACGAACATCCAGAGAGTATGGACAATGCTGGGAATCCTGGGACGTGTATCCATTCGTCTGCCCACTATAACAAAAAGAGGTCCTGGGATCTGTGTCCATTGATCGGCCCATTTTAGCCGAAAGAGCCCCGAAGACGAACATCCAGAAAGTATGGACAATGTTGGGGATCCTGGGATCTGTATCCATTCGTCGGCCCACTATAACAAAAAGAGGTCCTGGGATCTGCGTCCATTGATCGGCCCATTTTAGCCGAAAGAGCCCCGAAGACGAACATCCAGAAAATATGGACAATGTTGGGGATCCTGGGATCTGTGTCCATTGATCGGCCCACTAAAGGAAATGAAAGGATCTCGGCCCCCCAAAGAATCAAAGCATGTTCGAAGAATTAGAAATGCACAGTGTGTATGTGGAACATGTGGGGAATCCTGGGGTCCGTGTCCGTTGCTCTGGGTCCCCGGGCCCCTCCAGGGAGGGACGGGGGGCCTCTTCGCCGAGTTCGGAGTCCAGATCCTGAAGGGGTCCTGGGACACACAACTAAATACACACAAATAACCGGATTCCCCAGATGTTCCTAGTTATATCTTCTGGGTTTTGTCTTCCCCCCCACTTCCCATAGTTTCGCCTATTTTCTTGGGAATCGACGGTTAATTGTGTCTGTGTGATTTTTTCCCTCCTGAGTGCAGCGCAGGGGGGCGGCGGACCGTCTCCCCATCCCCCCAATCACGCAGCAGGAGCTCGACCACAAGAGACCTTCCACAAGAAGCCCAACCCTGAGACCCCAGGACGTCTATTGCTTTTTTTCGCATTGGGAACGTGGCGCTTTCCGCGGGAAAAACCAAAGAAACCCAGGAAACCCAGGGCACCCGGGAGGAAAGCAGGGTGCTTCTTGGCATCGGCTTCATCTGTATGGGCGACGATCGGAAGCGGGTCTCACGCGAGATGACGTAGCGACCTGACGCCGCAGCGTATGCGGGCCGCCAGCGCGGCACGCTACACTGGAAGCGAGGGCTCTCACGCGCGACCTTACGCGGACAGCTTACGCGGGAATGTCGGTGCAATCGACCCCGCTTTCTTTCGTCACTCATATGGGACGCAGAACGACATACTAGTTACCATTACCATCAATCCTCCTTGGAGGCGTGCGTCCGACCGGAACATACAGTAGAGGCCAAAGCTCCCGCGGGGGGGGGGGGGGGCCGACGAACACATGGTATGAGTACGTTGGGGTGACGCCGATCGAGACGGGACGGCGTGGGCATGGGTTGGCGCCATGAGCTGGACAACGACCACAAAGAGCTTCTACGTCAGCACGCAAGACTGACCCATTAACGGATCCGACTCGTCCTCCATTCATTGGCATCAAACTCATGCGAAGCACCATGCTCTCCTGGACGTCCTGATTTTCCATGACGCCGACCCCCAGAGCCCTCGACGCACTCCTGGGACCGGACTTTTCACCCTGAATCGTTTTCTAACGACCCCGAGGCGCGGCAGAGGGCCCCCCAAGGCCGGAAATACAGTCGGGCCGCTGAAATAAGGAACGCCAAATAAGGAACGAAGCCCCTCTTAGGTCCCAGAACCGCCTTCGCTCACGAGGAGGGCTGGCAGAACAGCCATGGAAGGACCTGAAGAACGTCCAGCTCCTTCTGGACCCAAACTGTTCCTTATTTCAGCGTCTTGACTGTAGTGGAAAACACTCACTGCTTCATGGCCCCAGGGGGTCTGGGTGCACACACACACACACACAGGAAGAAACTCGGAGGTGCGCGCGGGCTTCTTGGATCGGCGCCGCGTGCCCCCCTGGCGGCGCCTCTGGCGCCGCCCCCTTGGCGCTCCCCGTGCGCGCCAGGCCGAGAGGGCGGGGGAGGGGGGGGCCGAGCGCCGCTCCAGGAAGCTCGGGCGGGCCTCCGAACGCCTGCGCCGGGTTCGCGTCGTGCCGACTTCGGCGCTGGCCTCTGACACCGCGGGGGTCGCTCGACCTCGAGCAATCGGCCGCTTCCGAAACGTCAGGTCGTTCAGCATCGACCAACTCTGGGTCGCCTGCGGCGTTCCACGTTGCACGCGGGCGGCGGGGTTTGCCGCCGATCGGCACGGCGCCAACCTACCGCATGTGCTCGCGCCGTGCTGCTTGCCCCTCGGCTGCACGCGTGAGCGGCTCTGGGCAGAGAGTGACCTTTGGTGCGCGGCTCAAGGGGGCAACGATCAGAGGCTTTTTCCAGATGGGGTCGCAGTAGATGGGGTCCGAGGATTTCGCCGCATCGCCGATACAGACATCGGCGATGCATCGTCGATGCATCGACGATGCATCGGCGACGGCGGCGATGAAGCGGCGACGTCCGCATGGAGAAGATCGGGCTCCGCATCGAGCCACATCGCCGACGCATTGGCGCTGTGGCGCGATCCCCCGACCACATCTGCTCGGAGCCCATCTGGGAGGCCTTGAACGTGCACGGAGGGTGCACGGTTTCCCCCAGGGCCGTAGGCGACCCG